GCATGCTTGGCGCATGCACCCGAAGATCGGCCAAGTGCTTTGAAAGTCGCACACCGCGTCCGCCAACACGTGCAGGCAGCATTGTAACTCGACACATTGATACAAAAGCCATGGTTCACTAGCCTCGGTGGATCTATTTTGCTTGGTGAAAAGCGATTTCGTGCTGGGCAATACAGACTACACAGACTTTGACGTCGCTGTTTGTCTCGTTGACGTACACGCTGTAGCTTGAGAGTCGTCCATGCACACGCCCCGCAGCGTGCAAGTCGACCAGTGCGTTGGCTGCGACGTGCGCGATTTGTAGCTTGGACGGTCGACCGTTTAGCCGGTACCAGACCGGCAGTGCATTCAAGAAGTGCCGGTGAGTCTCTGCCGGCGATGCCCCGTCCACGAGAATGTTTGGTGAGCGCAACCTACGCACATTGTATGAGTCGACGCAATGTACTAGTAGTGCAACACGACAACGTTTTCGCCACTATGTTGTCGCCCTGCCCCGAAGCCGAGCTCTAATGGAACCACGTCACTCGACTTGTAGGTGGTAGCGTCTCGCGGTACCGTCAGCACGTCGGTCAAGAACGTCACGCTACACTGGTACCGAGATATCTTTGCAAACGTGGTCAGACGGCTCGTTCAAGACCATCTCGAATGTCGCAGCATCGCAATTCTCAATGGCGGCCACAAGCGCCTGGCAGTTGTCAGCATCTTGTTGCGATACGTATGCGAAGTCTTTGTGTAACTATGAAGATAAAGCGAAACACGTTCATATATACTTGTGTAATGATATACCTGGGAGTGCGCGTGCTGAGCTCCTCGGTGCGCCCACTCGGCCGTGACAGCAATTTCCTCTGGGGTCGGTGCGTTGGCCTGCACCAGACACGCCAAGGCTTCGCGAGGAATCGGCTGCAACGGTGTCTAATGCCTTAGTTACGAGACGATCAAGTGTTGAACGTACCGGTGTTCTTGTGTTGAGCGCTGTCTTCAAGTAAATCAACAGCATCTTGAGCTCATCCATGGGCGTGAGCTCCGTCTTGCACGTCGGGCACGCTGTCGCGAGGAGAAACACGGGCGCGTTCGACCACGCTGCGCAAGGTGGCGTCCAGGCGATAGCTACGCCTTCGTGGGGCAGCGCGATAAGTCGTTTGCGCACTTGATCTTTCTCGCTCTCGCTTAATCGCGACCGCACCCCGAGCACGCACTGTTGATCGAATGCCACGTGCTTTTGCATTGGCTATCGCAACTTTGGCGTCGTGGAGCAGTGGGACAAAGTCTTCGAGGTTGTCTTCGGCCATGCTAAGTGCAAGCGGACACAAGGCGCCCTACCATGTATCACACGCTTGAGTATAGATCGTGTTCGCTGAACCAAAAGCACCTCGTGGGCGGGCTGGACGATGGCACCAGCATCCAAAAGGAGACGCACTACGCGCTCCAGATCGTTCTTGACAGCGAGGTAGAGCGCCGAAGAACCGTCCTGTACCATGCCGCTGAGACCCTCCATGTCGTTTGATTTTCGTGGCATCACGCCGCTGACGGCGTTGACGTTGGCGCCAGCGCCCAGAAGAAGGTGTGCCATGTCGAAGTTGCCCTCACTCGCCGCTAGCTGCAGGGGCGTCATCGCATCCTACTCTTTTCGTGAGAGAGAGCGCGACGACAAAATGCGAGTAAGTACTGTACCATGCTGCTATCAACACGAGCACCACGAGCAAGGAGAAGCTGAACCATGGATTCATTTTGGGTGCTGACGGCCAGCGTCAGCGGCAGCGTCGAGCCCTATCCCATTGTAATGGAACTATTGCATCGATATGACAACGTGTACATCAATCGTCCAGTTGGGATCGAGTCCATTCTTAAGTAGTGTACAACTAGCGACACAAAGTCTCGAGAGCAGATTTCCATGGGCCCTACGTTCCATGAGCTCTAGTCGTCGTGCGCCGAAGGCCGGGCGCACCGGTGTCGTCGCATGCACGTTCGCGTTGGCCTCGAGAAGCGCCTCAACGACCGCCGTGGCCATGCAGCGCTGCCACGGCCAGCATCGGGTGGTCCATCTACAGATCCGCGACGCAGTGAGGCGATAGGCTGCATGGCGATCGACGCACCTCGTCCAGGGCGTTGACGTCGGCGCCGGTTCGTAGCAGGTCGGTGGCGACAGCGGCGTGGCCGGTCGCGACTGCTTCGCGTCGTGTCATCTACGTCGGAGGCCATGAGGCCATGCAGAGGCCGCGATTCGTACTTTCATGCTGCTGCTGCTTGGTCTCGAAGCAACGGCAATGAGGGCTCGATCCCATCGTCGCCGGTCGCGATCCTGTGCAATTGAGTTTGAGAGTGCGATTGAATATCAGAGTCGTCTTTCGGGGTATTCATTGCTACAGGTATTTTAAATGTATTGAGTTTTCTCACTGGAGTTTTCTGAAATCGATCTGAAAAATAGCTCGTGTTTCCAGAAACACAGGCTGCTGTGGCGATCCAAAACCTTCAAAAATACATTCTATCATTTGGTGGTCGACGAATCCCCTCTACAAATCGATTGCACGGGGTTGTGCGGCGCATCAACTGCCGTTGGAGGCCACTTCTGTTTCCAGCACACTCGAAGCAAGCGCGTGCGGGTGCGAATGACACTCAATGACATCTCATTACATACGACGCCGTAGACTATGGATCTCACCAGAGCCGTCGCTCGTGGCGACACTGCGAGAGTGACCGAACTCCTCCAGAGCGGCGTCGACCCGGATAGCCGCGACAAGGTATGCCACCTCAAACTACCGATACGGTACTAACGTCAATATGTGTAGTATGGAACACCAGTGCTCGTTACTGCGGCGAAGAAAGGCTACGTCGGTGTCGCGCAGTTGCTTCTCAACGCCAGCGCCACTGTCGACCTGACTGCACTGGTGCGGCGTAGAGCAGCAAATGACTTTATGTTCCAGAGTCTTCGATTAGAAAGGCGAGACAGCACTTATTGTGTCACCTTTTGGTGGCTCCGTCGAGCTCGTACGACTGCTTCTAGAGCATAGCGCCGACGTCAACTACAGCTGTCCGGTACGCGTCGCTCTCACGCTATGGCATAAGGTCACACAACTCTACACTAGATTGGGACACCGCTACAAGTCGCGGCCAGTGCCGGCAAAGAAGACATTATCGACGAGCTCCTTGCGGCTGGAGCCAACGTCAACTTCGAAGGCGATGTACCGCAGACTTTTGCTTCTCGTTCCCATGTACTAGTACTGTTGATGCTCTAGACACAAATCGCACCGATCTTGATTGCAGCGTCGTCTGGACACGTCGCCACTGCTTTGCGACTCGTGTCGGCCGGTGCCAACCTGGCCAGCGTCGACAAGGTATCCTCGATTCATACACACAATTGTTTACATGTGACACACACTAGAACGGGGAGGGGGCTGTCTTTCGTGCGGTGCATAAAGGCCATGCCGACATGGTCCGCCTTCTTGTGGACAATGGCGCAGACCCAAACGCTACGTCACCTGTATTACGCAATCAAATCGGTTGATGTGCTGACTGACTGACGCTTTTAGGCTGGATACCCGCCATTATATGTCGCTTGTGTCACGGGTCGTACCGACTCGGTGGGGGCCCTGCTGCAGGGTGGAGCGAACGTCAACCCAACCGACACCGTAGGATTGCATACAGTACAAGGCCAAGGGGGATTTACACACGCAATATAGACTCCATGCCCATGCCTCGTGGCGGCAGCGACCTTCGGTCACTCGGAAATTGTAGCACTACTGCTCGAGGCGAGAGCCGACGTGAATGTGATCGAAAGCAAGGTACAACTCTTGCTGCTGCCAGTGAACTCATCGCGCATGCCTGGACAGGCAGGGGCTACAGCAATGTATGGGGCCGCCTGCCGTGGCCATGTTGACGTTGTGCGCCAGCTTGCGTACGCGAGAGCCAAACTCGACGTGCTCGCCTTTGTAAGTGGATACGATCCCCTTATTTCAGTCTGCGTACCGCTTGTAGGACGGGACAACGCCACTTGACGCTGCTTTCGAGGGCGGACACAAGGATGTCCTTGCTGTCCTTCATGATGTGCGTACCAAGGTACACTACATTGACGAATGTTTATCATTGTGCGATATTGTTGCTGCGCGCAGAAAATGGAGCTGCTCCATGCAGCCCGGCTTGGTGATGTCCAAATCATCCAAACTCTCTTGTCGGAAGGCCTTAGCGTCAACGAGACGGACGAGGTACTAGTGCTGCTCTATGTGATAAATGCTCACGAAATGTGCTAGCACGCCAACTCGCTTTTGCATTTGGCTCTGCTCGGTCGTCACGAACCGCTTTTAGCAGAGCTTTTGCACCACGAGGAGTGCGAACTCTACGGTGTCAATAAGGTCTTGAGAGCGCTTATAGTATCCTGGCCCTCAAAGTGGACGTCTGTGCTCTGTAGTTTGGCGAGTCCCCGACAACGATTGCCGCAAAGCTGGGTATCCCGTCACTCATTCATCGGTTGCATGCTGTACAAGCCTCGATTTCGACCGAGGCATGAACCAGTCTTATTGGACTCAATGAGACAGTGTGCCTGTTGCTCATAGGTGGATCCTTGCTCCACGGTGCATCTCCAAGAGATTGGCCGCGGTGGCTTTGGCATCGTCTTCAAGGGCACGCTTCATGGCCACGGCGTAGCCGTCAAGGTGCTACGGAACTCTAAATTCGGTGCCGCAAGCCTTCGAGATGAAATTCAAATCCTCAAAAAGTAAGATGACAGATGTTTGGTTCGCATCACTTATCACATGGCAACGTAGCAATCCGTCGCCGTACCTTGTGCGGCTGATCGCCACCGCTGATGCCGCATCGGACGCGCCGCAGCTCTTTTTCGAGTACATGGACGGCGGCAGCCTCACTTCGTACCTCGAGAAGTTGGCCAAGGACGAGGTGGGCCTTGTCACCTACACGCCCATTGAGATTCTCTGGGTCGTTGCCAACGCTTTGAACGACCTCCACAAGAAGAACGTCGTCCATCGGGATATCAAGCCCGACAACATCCTCCTCTCGTCCAAGCACTACATCAAAGTGGGTGACGTCGGTATCGCCAAAGAAGAGTCAACGTACATGACGACGGGGGCTGGCACGAGCAAGTGGCGCGCGCCCGAAGTGCTGACGTCCGGAAGTGGCTACGGGAAGGCGGCCGACATTTACTCGTTTGGGATTCTCCTCCAGACGCTGTACCCTAACCCTACCGATCCAAGCACCGAGTGGGCCCAAGCTCTTGCAGCGGACTGCACGGCGGTGGATCCAACGCGCCGTCCAACGGCGGCCGAGATCGTCGAACTCATGCTGCCCAAGTTGCAATCGTACGTCGTACCTCTGAATTATGCAAAGAGTGTCGAAATGGTACCTGTAGGCAGCTGCACCTTGTGGCGTCCATGCATGCCTTTGAACAAGACAAGGCGGTACTGTAACACCTGCTTTGTAGGCTAAGTCAATTGTTCAACCTTGACTAGGCGGGTCTTCAAGTTCCTGAATACGTCTCGCTGCCTGCTGGCATCGAAAGACGGACGATGCCCGCAGCTCCTTCAACGACAACGCTGGTTACAGTGTCGCCTGCCTTCCCTCTGGTTAGTATTGACTTTCCATATATTCGAGAATGGGGTCATCTTTTGCTTTGGTAGGGCATTGGGCAGTTCTCGAGTTTTTCGGTATAGCAACTATTGCTTTTCATTTAGTTGTGTAATTTTCTACGTAGCGAGACGAGGAATTGATCGAAGCCATCGAGGACAGCAAAGTCGAAATCATTCGCACCTTGATAGAGAGTGGAGTGCACCCCGACGGCACAGGAGTGGTAGACTCTGACGTTGCTCACTCGTCTTGCAGTGTATATCGCACATGTATGATGTAGGGGGATATGACACCACTGATGCATGCAGTGCATTTCAATGACATCGCCGTGATCGATGTGCTGCTCGCATATCACGCCGACGTGAACAAAGCTTGCTGCGTACGGGCGTCGTCGCTCAAGAAGCGACTAATCCACTTGTAGAGTCATTCCACTGCAATGCATCAAGCAGCGAGACAGAGCTCGAGCAAGACAATCGAGAGGCTGCTCCGCGTCGAAAACGCCAATGTCAACGTCAGGGACGGCGTATGGACAAGAGCGACATGACGACCGCTCATTTCCTTTTAGGCGCAAGACACGCCGTTGCATCTGGCGAGTGCGGAAGGGTGCTTGACGAATGTGCTTGCTCTTGTGAACGCTGGTGCCGATCTCGAGGCCACCGATGTGGTACATACTCGGCGACTCGAATACAACATTGTCTCAACTCGAGCGCTAGAACATGAATCGACCATTGCATTTTGCAGCGTCGTATGGACGCAAAGACGTCGCTGCCTTGCTCGTCAGTTGCAGCGCACGAACGTCCGAGCGCAATGCGGTCTCTCTGCGCTGCGCACATGTGACATGCTAAAGGGGTCTATTGTAGGGTGGCGAGACGCCATTGCATATTGCCCTTATGTGCAGTCATGACAACGTGGCCACACTTCTTGTGGAGGCGGGTGCTGACGTCCACGTCCTCGCGGTCTTGTGTTTGCATCCCATGAGATAGAGCTCACGCATTTCCTGTCGCGTAGAGCGGACGTAGCCCATTACATTGTGCTTGCGAATATGGAGTTGCCAAGGTCATTCCAGCGCTACTTGCCCGAGGCGCCGACGTCAACGCCAAACATGTACATACACCGCCTTGACGTTGCTCATAGGTCGTCGGGTGTAGGACTTGGCATCGCTGCTCGTCTCGGCCATTGAAGGAGACCGCATGGATGTTGCTGCGGCGCTTCTGGCGTCGCCCCACATTGATCTCCACGAATGCCAGGACGTAGGGCTGTACATTGTGACGCTCCTCTTGTGACGCGCATGTGTCCTGTAGGACGGCCAAACGATCTTGCATGCCGCTCTGCTCAATGGCAACCATGAAATTGTTCGAAGACTGATCCAAGCGGGCGTCGATGTTGACCAAAGAGAGACAGAGGTCCATCACAATCACGCCTACGTAACGCTTTATGACTAAAGGGTCATGGAATAGTTGGGCGTAAACGCCTTGGACCTGGTCCTGAGAATGAATGACCGCGAAATGGACCACATTGTGACGCCCGCCAGTAATCATGTACGTCCCAGCATTTCAAATCCCAAATCAAATCGTGATAAACATCGTGTCATAGCTGCAAGCATTGATGCGCGCACTGCGTCGCCAAAATGTACCCCGCTTTGCCGCCCTGCTTCAAAAGCCAAACAGCTGTAACTTCTCCGACGAGGTACAAAACCCCCTCGAAATTTATGCTGCCTATCGTCGTTGGAAATTCCAGGCGGGCAACTCTCTGGTCCACAGCGCCGTACTCGCCGGCAACGAGGCGATACTTGACCTGCTCCTCGCCCAACCGCGCGCCCAATGCGATACACGCAACCATGTACGCGAGACTACATTACGTCTCGCACATTTTGACTTTGCGTGCTTGTGTTGTAGGAACAAAAGACGCCACTGGCACTTGCGATCGAGGGTGGCAGTCGCTCGATGGCCAAAAAGCTTTTTGATCGCACACACAAGTCCGTGGTCGAGGTAAGCTTGTTGTAGAGAACAAGAGTTTCAGCCCGCTGCTGTAGATTTCGGAAGCCGAGTACGAAGTGACCACGAAAGAGCTCGGTGCCGGTGGGTTTGGTGTCGTCCTCCTCGGCTGGTACTTGGGCCAAAAGGTTGCGATCAAGAAGCTCAAGAACGCAGGTCTCCGCATGCCGTTCGAGGCCGAAGTCAACGCACTTCTTACGTATCTCTGAATGTACTTGATCGAGCGCTCATCGAAACATTTATGTAGCTGCCCGTCGCCATACCTCATGCGGTTGGTGGCCATCGCAGACTGCGATTCTGAGAACCCGGCGCTTCTATTTGATTACATGGACAGCGGCAGTCTTCGGACGTACCTTGACAAAAAACGGTTCAACGGACGTACACGCGTGACCGTGACCAACCTCCAAGTGGCGTGGGTCGTCGCCAACGCTTTGAAAGACCTTCACGCCAAGAAGCTCGTGCACCGCGATGTCAAGAGCGACAACGTCCTCTTGGGTGCAGGTGGTGAAATCAAGCTCGCCGATCTCGGCTTGGCGCGGCTCGAAGCCACCGACATGACCGAAGCGCCTGGTACTCGGTACTGGATGGCCCCCGAGATCCTGCAGGCTGGAGGCACGACGTACGGTCGACCCGCCGACATCTACGCCTTTGGCGTTCTCCTCACGGAGCTCGACACATGCGAGCTGCCGTACTTTGACCAGGACGTCCAGGATCCAATTATGTTTGTGGACGGTGTCATCCGTGGCACTCGTCGTCCGACGTTGACGAAGAATGGCCAGCTGTGGCTGCGCCAGTTGGCAGAGACGTGCCTACTCGGAGACCCAAAATCGAGGCCGACAGCCAACCAGATTGTCGAGGTGCTGCAGAAGGAAATGGCGGCGCCTGCGACGGCCACAAAATCGCCGGTAAGCATATTGTCTTCTCCAATCGTTATATCTGACAAGTTGGCAATTCAGGAGACAGATACATTTTTGCGTGCGGTGGCAAATGACGAGATCGACGCGGTGAGGGAACTGTTCGGGTACAGCATGCCGTATGCCTTGCCACCCATCGTATGACGTCCTCACATGAAAAAGGAGCATTTGAAATCGATCATGTAGGTCGGTTCGATACTGCTCGTCGTTGCCACGACATCTGGTGCCGTCAAGACGCTTCGATACCTCCTTAAAAGCTGGCCCAATGTCAACGAGCTACATGTATGACGTGCTCTTTGCAAAGGTTGGGACCAACCTGAGTGCGTAGAACGGCACCACATTGCTCCACGGAGCTGTATCCGCAAATTCGAAGAAAACCCTGGAAATGCTTATCGACGCAGGGGCCGACGTTGACACACCCAACCACGTACGAAAGAGATCGTTACCGACATATCAACGTATCAAACAACGACGTAGGAGGGCAAGACGGCGCTCATGATCGCATTGAACACGGCAAGAACGTGCATCACGCCGCTCCTAGCGACAGGAGCCGACGTTTGCAATCTGGTCGCACTGGACCCACGTCCATGGTCTCGCTCATGCACAACCATGGTTAGGACGGAACAACCCTGCTTGAAAAGGCTCGTAACGCTGGCGTGTCGGACTACTACGTGTCAGCACTCACGATCGCCGAGTCTCGCGTACGTGCACCAAGTGTCCTTCTTTGATGCTGGCGACGATTCCGATGGCATCCATTGACGTCTGTAGAAAGAAAACGTTGACAAGCCCGTGATCATGTGCGCCGAGTGTGGCAACTGGCATGCGGTCGATGCTGTTTGTTCGTGTGGCCACGACGCATCGTCGACGGACCGCATGGTCGCGGTGGTCCGGCGCTTGATGCGGCTGCACCATCGCGGCTTCTCCGTCATGTGGATGCGCACGTGCAATAACTGTCACCAGTCGACAATGACAATCGTCGAGATGATCTGCCCCAAGTGCGGCACGGAGTCACGGAAGAGTATGACGGAGCTCAAGATGCTGAACATTCGCCTCAAGATGGCCATGAAACCGACAGCAACGCGGCTCGTACGATTTTTCAAGGGGTTTTCAAGGCCCACACCACCTCCTTGTAGGCTCCGAACAATGTACCGGAGATCCCACACGGCATTCTACGCTGGCTGGCGCGCACCAACGAGCTGGCTGCGCAGCCATTGCGGACGCTGGAGAGCAAGGATCGAATCGCAGACGACGAGCAGGAACAAGCGGGCACGGGGGCGCTCGGCGGCGCCCGCTGCGTTGGGCGGTTTGTGTGTCTTCAGCACCTTCTTGATGGCGAGGTCTGTCCCTTTATGACACCGCGTGATCAGGTTTGATGATAGCACCAATATGACGCACTCAACGTTCTTCTCTTTAGAGCCATTGCACGTCGCATGGGAGTACGAGTCCGGTGGACCGGGCGGCCGCCATGGGACCCACAAGGATGGAGTCAGAGCCCGAGGTAAAATCGTACTTCATACACGGGGGATATGTATGGTACCTAGATATTGGCCGATGAGCTTCCAAAGCCCGGTGTGCCCTTCAAATTGCACGAGGCCATCGTCACGCACCGGCGCGTCCGTACCGTCGAGCACTTCGACGCTATCGTGAGGTACATTTCTTGCAGGATGGACAATAGAAGTTGAAGGGCCCCGATGTACAGTTGCTCATCGCCGCATCTCCTGAAGATCGTGGCTTGCGTGGCCCCGACGAGTATTGTCGTGTCGCATCACGATAGTCTCTATGAGTTGATACAAGTCCCGGACGAGTGCAAACTAGAGCTGGACGAAAAGGTGAACCAGATCCAAGTCGCCTACGCCGTGGCGAAGGCCCTCGCCGAAGTTCATAGCCACGGCCTCGTTCACGGGTATCTCTCGAGCCACAACGTCTTTTTCGATTCGTCCGAGTCCACCAAAGTCGGCGTCCCTGGCACGTCGGCGATTGACGATGCGCTGCTGGCGTGGACGGCGCCCGAAGTGCTTGCCGGCCACTCGCCTCCGTCGTTCGCGTCCGACATTTACGCCTTTGGCATCCTCTTGACCGAGCTCGACACGTTGAAGTTGCCCTTTGACGACTACGATTTTGAAGACGACGTTGAGATCACGACGGCGGTCGTCGACGGCGGCTTGCGCCCCACGCTGCGCGACGACTGCGAGCAGTGGTATCGGAATCTCGTCGGTCTGTGCTTGGACGTCGACCCGCACCATCGCCCGACGGCCGCAGACCTCGTCGAGCTGCTACTCCGAGGGATTTGGGATTACGTCAGGTCCTGCGCTAAGTCCAAGTAGCACACGTGGGCTCTATCAAGGCTACACAGCGCTGCTCCAATGAACTTTGTGATGCTGTGTAGTTTTGCTGTGTTTTGCCGAGTTATTGATGGACCGATCAGAGCATTGTGTGACGTGGGATAGCCCGTACATCACCAATACCCTTGACGCGAGCTTGCACGTCCCGTTCAAGCTGCAGTCGGTTTTCGAGTACATGAACCGTGGCGATCTCAAGAGTGGGACTCGAACCCAGCTCTCCTTAGTCTTAGTGGTACCAACCGTCTACTAGTATACACTGTAGAGACGTCGTTTGGCGGTACACCCGCGTCGTCGCGAGAGCCACTGTGGCCGACGCCAAATCGAAGGGACATAAGCGGTACCTCGGCCATTCTCGCTGGTAGTCCTTGGTCTAGCGCATGCAGTAGGCAGTGCTATGTATAAAGATCCTTCTGCGTACGCTTTGCAAGCTTGAGTGTGAAAACTCCATCCAATAGCCCGTCTCTATTCGGGTACATGGCCATCGCATGGACCACATACGAGCCAAAACGTTATAAAGGCGGTCCATGTACTGGACTGGCTGTACCACTAGCCAGAACGCCCGCCTGTCTTTTGGCAAGCAAATCATTGACGGGATTTCACACTGAAGCGCCGGCGATGTGGCAACCCAGGACCGACGACCCGGACAAGGCGCTGTACCTGGACGCCGCGAACCTGATCGATGACGCTATCGCCAATGTGCGCACCAGGTGTCTCAGAGCCAGCAACGCGCCACCACTTCGCATCGACGGCATCGACGGTGCCATCACGTGGCCGCTCGCACCTGCACACGCAACAACCCTTGCAGCACTTGACATTCCCAATGGCACACTTCTACCGGCGTCCTTTGCTTTTGCCCGGCCTACTGCGTGGCGCCTGGTCGTTAAAGACGTGCTCCATCGGGAGGCGGCCCGTGCGATCACGGACGCCGACATCGTTCTCTCGCACCTCGTTGTCGACGCCGTTGGCACCGGCGCCGCGCTCCTCCCAACAACCATGCCGGACGATACCTTTGGCTACATGATTCTGCACTTGCCGTCGGCCTACGACGGCGGCAAGATGGCATTTCGCTATGGCTACATGACCGAGACATGGACGCCCAACAGTCGCAAAGTCGAGATGGTCACGACGTACCGCGACCTCGTCCCGACCTCGACGCCCATCACAAGAGGAGTGCGCATGGCACTCGTCTTCCGTCTCGTCATGATCGACGACGACGATGACGTTCCAGCGCCATGCAACCAAGCCAAGGCCATCGCCGCCTTCCAGCGTGTCGCTGAGCTGCCGCTACACACGCACCACCGCGTAGCGTTCTGTAATGACGAAGACGCTTCGATCGACCGTGTCTGGACCTTTGGCTCTCTCGGTTGGTACGAAACCGGCTTGGTGGGTGTGCTCTTGACCACTGAACTCTACGACGTTGCGATCGTGACGTTTGCCAAAGAGTCGGACGAGGATGTGGCCTTTGAGAACGAGCTGCGACGTGGCCGCCGCAGCAGCGACGACGAACACAGTGACGATGACGACGTGTACGAGGCCCAGTTTACGAATCAAGTCGCGACGTGCACGCCGCACCCGTCGAGTCAGATCCCTTCGACGGTCGTGGACGCGCTCGTGGGCAGCCGCGTCGACGCCTTCCTCTTTGACAACACGCCGATCGACCACGACTCGTTCGAGTGCCCGCCGTTCGCGCTCATCTTCTGGCTCAAGCGGTATCGGGCGAGTATCCTCGGTCTGGACATTGTGCTGCCGCTCGTGACTGAAGCCATTACCAACAATACTGTGGACCAGCCGTGCCTTGGGCTTCTGAGCATCCGAGACGTTCTGCACGGCGCACTCGATGTCTGCCGCCTTGAACACCTCGGTCGCGTCGGCAAATGCTCGGGAACGTCGCCCCTCGCGAAGCTGTGTGACGTGCTTCTGGCGCTTGATAACGTCGAGCTGGTCATCATTTTTCTCCGAGATGGCCTTTCTGTCGGCTACGACAGGTCCATCAAGACGGTCGCCGCGTGCATTCATGCATGTCTCGAGCGGTATGGCTGGCACCGGCGATGCTCGGTCTGCTCTCTCGGTGGTACCGGCCGCTCATGTTTCGAGCGCCGCCGTGGCAGTACATTGACATTGACTGCGCGCCGCGGCTCCTCGCAAGCCTTGCAGGCATCGCGACCGACGCCGTGTGTCCGCCACTCCACCAGCCGTTTGTGTGCGAGCTGATCAAGCTGTGCTACCACCGCGCACTCGACCAACATCGGTTCCTCCCAGAGAGCGACTCCAATATCGAGATGCTCTGTCGGTTTGCGACCCATGTCGTCCTCCTCGACTGGTACCTCGACGAAGGCGCGCCGAATGCGGCCGGCGGCAACTACCTCAGCACCTTCTTGCCGCCAAGTATGATCCTTGTGGTCGAGTCGTTTGTGTACAATCATAGACCCGGCACGTCGACGCTGCTCAGCCTACGGACACCGTCGATGACATCCAAGCTGCTTTCGTATCTTCCGGAAGCGCTCGTCATGGCGTTGAAAAGTCAGACCACGATCTCCATCGACCGATACGTCCGCGTCATTGAGCGCGCTCTCAAGACGTTCACGCACGCTGACAAAGTGCAACATGAAAAGCTGGGAACGACCATCTTTGCAAGTGTTCTCAATCTGCTGGACCGAGTCGGGCGCTGCGACGCCGTTCGATTTGAAGCGATCTGGACGCTCTTTTTTCCAGCGTCACTTGTCGGCACACGGCAGCTGCTCCAACAACGGACACTGCAGGACGATGTGCGCGCTCGTATTGCGTCGCATGTTCTGGCACTTGCGCCGACGCTGTCGGCCCAGCACCTCTCGCGGCCAAGGTACTGTGGCGCCTACACTTCGTGGGAGCAACCAGGGTTGCTGGCGGTCGAGGTGTTTGCGATCGTCGACGCGACACAAGTGCCGTCGCTTCTCCAGCGATGGCTCGAGGCCGTGAACCGTGAGACCCCGGTGACGCAGTCAACTCTGAAGGTCGGTGACGATGACGAGTCGCACTCCGCTTCTTTGTTCATCCGAGACCGAGCTCTAAAACTCTATTTTCCTTTGGCCCAACTGCTTGCAAGCGTCACACCACAGCACGTCGACGAGATAAACGGAATTGTACAGCGCTGCCTCGCTGTGTTTGGCGGCGTCCGTAGCCGCCCACCCCTTCCTATCATCAGCGATTACGTCTTTGACGCCACGCCACTGGATGCAAGTCATTGCTACTTCTGCAAGATCGTGGTCGACTTCTTGAGCGACGGCACCTGCATCCGACTGCGCTCGCTGCAAGTACCGACGCTATGTGAACCCGGGCGGCGCTGTATCGACACCAACGACCACCGCCTCGAGCTACGTCACAAGCGTCATGCGTCGTATGTCGAAGTCACAAAAGTGCCGGTTGAAGGCGGCGTGAGTGCGGGCCAACAGTACGAGCTTGTCCGTGCCCAGCGTCAAGATGCCGAGGACCGCGCGCGTGTTGCGGTTCTGGACACCATCGTGGCCGACGCGCAACGACCAACGGCGTTCGATACAGCGACCGACGACGACGCGCCGCATCAACATGGCGTCAAGCGTCAGCGACGATCATTTTAGACGACGGCTGCATTGAATCAAGGTCAATACGCAAAAGGGTAGGACCCTAGATTGAATGTATCTATTGTCGATAATTGTTGTTTGACACGTCTTACACAAAAAGTGGTGCATCGGCTACCATGATGGCGGTATGTAGCCGTCCCCGTCCTTGGCACCCGCGTCTTCGTCGTCGGCGTACGTTTTGGTCATGACATTGTCACAGTCGTCAACAAAGCCCGCTGCCTCCAGGTCGACAATCGTCCGCGCTTCGTCGGCACCGCGTCGAAAAGGATCGTATCCAGCATCCGCTGTCGCGCCCGAAGAAGCTCTTGAAGTGCGTTGCACGTGGCGCACGTACAGCAACACGGGTCCAAGAGCCCGTGGATGCGCTTGTCATCCCTTGCTTTGGCTGCCGTGGCGCCCATGAGGTTAACCCTAGTCTTACCGGTAATTGGTTGTGAAGCTACTAGTTAGTACAAGTTTGTACTAATTGAAACACTGCGTGTCGTCGAGTTGGGCGAAGGGTGAGAGCGTGGTATCGGCTACGTGTTATCGGAGCTTACATGGTCGAGTTGTCTGCCCACGCAGCCATTTAAAAGGAATTATTCCTGCCTCGGGCAAGTATAATTAGTCGACGCAGTGCGATTGTGTTGCTGTACCAGCTATGGATGAAAGATCGAGGTTTGTCAAGCAAAATGTATGTGCCAATCAAGTACGAGCTGCTCTACACTGTAGCTGCTGCTCTGGTGTACT